TAAATATTAAAATACAAAAGCCATTATATTGTATGTAATATTTTAACAAGTGCCATCAGCACTTATGAACTTTTAACATTAACAATTGTCAGAAAATGCTTTTAGGACTTTAAATTTGATATAATTACTGTTAAATATCTAGCTTTGATAACTATCAATCGCTACAAGATACAATAACAATCGTGAATAATACAACAATAATAATAATAATACAAAATTTCTTATCAATAAAATTTGTTTCAACTTATTTCATAGTTCACACATTTAAAATTCCTAAATGAATATTAATTTTAAATGAAATGAAGAACCATATAAGCCTGTATTAATTTTCAGAATTATATTTTTTTTATATGTTTTAATTTTTCAAAGTTTGCGTTTCATACTTTTCTGGGAGTGTAGTATACTGATGAAAATTGTTTACTCTTTATTTTCGAGAAGGTGTAAAACTATATAAGAATTCTTTAACTACAGCAAAAATAAAGGAAAAACCACATTTCAAAATAGTGAGATGCAAATTCTTCACCACGAAATATATACGAAATATTTTCACTATTTCTAAAGTTATATCACTTTGAAGTTGGTTGCACTTCAATTGGACCAAATTGTATCTATTGTATACTATGCATAGATACATGTTAGTATGTCGAGGCATTAATGCTCGAACAAGCAACAGACAAGTATCATTAACATATCTAAAAATATACTCACATCCTTATTTAACAGTTTGCCAAAATAATAAGTGATGCTGAGTAGAACTACTGCGGCGGCAGAGAAACTTTTCATTTGTTTAAACCGCAGAATTGTGGCAAAACGGAACACATTCCTCCAACGAAACTAAACTAGCTTCCAACTGTAATTAGTAGCATTTCACTCACTTCGTATGAATTTATGTATGTATGCGGCTGAAATTCAGGTACGCATATAATAGTCAACCATGTAGATACTTTGATAGTGATATTTCCGTACGTTATTTGTGAAATAAATAAATTTTATAATACTTTTAAGTAAACAATATCGATTGCCGAGAGAAGAAAAAAGAAGCCACATAGTTGGAATATAAGTTTGAGGTTCAATTTTCCATGAAAACATAGAATGTCTAATTATAAGTTGAAAATTTTATAAATTTGTATAAAAAATAAAAATAATTTTATTTATTACTGTTAAGAAAAACCCATAAAATTTTTTATCAAATTTCGTTAAATATTGTTCTCATGTATTTAGAAAGGGATATCTAAAAAGAAATTAGTCTGAGTTTCCAAAGTATAAGTTTAAATGGAAAATATGATTATGGATTGCTATTTAAAAAAATTTTAAAATATTAATCCAAACACCTCTAACGCAAAATCTTAAATCCAACTTGGAGTTTTATGATTATATATGTTAAAACATATATGTGTTAGATAAGGAGACAATTTGTCAGAAGATTTGTTGGAGAAAATTATTCGCGCAGTAAGAGGAGATTAAACTGGCATAATTCCAGGTTACAAATGTCATATATTTGAAAAATGGCTTATACATTTTCCAAGTTAAATGAAAAGAAAGGCAAAAGAATGTTGCAGTAAACAAGAACAAAATAAGGTATCTTTAATAGTTAACCAAGTCATTCCAGCATATTGGACATCACTTTCAATGTTGGTACTTTAACTTTAACTTTAAGTATGAAAACATCAATAGCAGACTTTCTGTCGGTTACTGTTGGTATTATGGCTTAGCAAGCTATTAAATAGTTGACCTTTGTCTCGATGAACGAAAACAACTCCATATAAATTGCTTATATACCTGTTCGATTATATGTTGGAGAAGCATAGATGACATAGCTTACGATAAACGTAGCTTAGAAGTTTCGCAGAGGAAAATTATACTTAATTTCTGTGGTTTCATCAAAGTTAATGGTGAATATTAACCTAGATAGTATTTTGTGAATGGTGCGATTTACTTTAGACGTTGCATAGAATATCAAATTATTGTAACCATAGATATTCTAGAACTAATTATTTAAAATGCTAAAAATCGAAATCATTGGTAAAAGGTTTCATAAATTATTTCTTGATATAATCAGAGATTCATAAAAAACTCATTAAAAATTTATTTAACTTTTGAACAAAAATAATGCCTCTACAAACAGAATAGTATTGATATTTAACAATTAAAAATAAAAATATTATTAATTAATTCACTTATTCTATATCTGGTTTATGATTTCGCTGTAATATAAACACAGAAAGTACGTCATTGGGTCAGTTGGTTAATGTGCGCTGACTCTGAGCTTCAAATTTAGTAGGGCATGAGTTCGATTCTTGGTACTTGCAAAAAAAAAATTATTCACGAATAATTAAATGTAAGAATTATTTCCTAGACCACTGATGATGGGTGTTTTGGTAATACTTAAAACAGCTGTATGGTCAGCCAAAAATTCAATTAATTAAAATAATATAAAATTAATTTTTGTTGTTGCAGTTCACAACTTTTCGAAAATCCCTTTATAAAATAATTTTTCTTAAATCATAAAATCTGTTGTCAAAACATTTATTAATCAAGTGAGGCCTTAAATTAAGTTTAGCATTATTAAGTTTAATTGCATATCTTAATTTAATGTTTGTGTTGATCCTTCGCATTTGTAGTTTTGAAGTTTACACAATCATCAAATATGCTTCTGGGTTAACTTTCATTGCTTGAAGTGCTTTGCATATTAAAGTTGAAAAGTCACATATTGCATTACTTTGCAATAATTTGTTATGTGAAGGTTAACGACTACTTACCTTTTTCTAATAATTACTTTGCTTGCAGTAATATTACTTTTATGAGACCATATAATTAATATTGCATATTTTTTTTATTTGTCAAAAGGAACTTCAACTATATAATTTAATTATTTAATAAAGAAATTGAACTTTTATTTCAAGGAATATGATTGCTCATTATAAAATTAAATTTAAATTATTTAAAAAATATAATTTAATATGTGGCAAGAAATGTAACCAAATAAAAATTTAGAAAATAGAATGCAATATTTATTCTATTTTTATTTAAAATTATTTTTATTTTTAATAGATAGCCTTGAAAGTCACTAGGTGAACTATAATACAAATATGCCGACCAGCGATTAACCTAATTGTTCTTATATTTTTCACACCCTAATCGAAGCAAAGGCTTCCACTTCTTCAGGTACATTTTGATTTGCGAAAAGAAAATTTCACATGGGACCATATCAGGTAAATATGGTGCTTGATCACATTCGTTAAATTATTCTCGTAGGGTCGTAGAATACTCAAGAGTACGTTTGTAAATTGGATTGAGTTTGAATTTCAGCGCAAACCGATAGAGAACACAATATAGTGTTATTAATATTTAAAAACAAATTGTGATGGTATATTTTAAGATATTTTTCAAATTATAAATTCCGAATATTTTTTACGTTTTTGCTGAATAAAAACTTAAGTTAATTTTTGACAATTATTCCACCAATTTCTGTATTTAAGTGCATTCCTTGAAATAAAAGAATTACAATCTGCCAAGCATTATACTGACAAGAATGAAAAATATTTTATTTTATAATTTAAATAAAATTAAAATAAATTTTATTATTGCATTAAATATATTATTTATCGCACTCATTGCAGTTAATATTTATTTATTTTTTATAACACATTTGAGTTAGATGAAAAATTTTCTGTTGTTATAAGAAGTAATTGCTTTTGGGTAATCTAAGATGAAAGCTTATTTAAAAAATTTTTTTTTTTTGTTATGAAAACAGCTATAAGCGCTTCATTTTTTCTCTGTTCATAAATCAACTCAAAAGTATATCTTTAGACTATTTCGCAAGAATAACACACAAACAAAATAAACATCCATAAATCTATACACGAGTATATTTTTATATACTAGAAAGTGTATAAAATTCGAACGTTGAAGTGAAATTAAATATTTTGTACTCGTATATTTTTTCAAATATTTTAATCTAACCTCTAGCAAGCGAAAACTATTATAATTTTATGAATTTTTTTTTTTCAAATTCAATATCTTCTTTTATGTTCACATGGAACAATGGCTTATATAGTACATACCCGCATATAAAAATTTTACTTCAAGAGTTTTTGCAGTATTTGCAACGAAGATATTGGAAAAAGTTTTTGAAATTTTCTATCAGCCTTTGCATTTTCTAATATGTGTGCTGCATTATTCAATTTACTTTTATCTCAAACGCAATAGCTTACAGGATTTTTATATGAGATACAATTCCTTGCAAAGGGTTTGCAGGCGGCAGAGAAACTCACATTAAATTTTCAACAATTTGGATGAGGAAAATGTTGCATCTTTGCAACATTCTGTAGTGCATTAAGCTTGGGTGTGTTGACTTGAGTTGTGCTTGCAGTGGATAAATGTGTTTCTTTGAAACTTAACTTAGAATTTATTTTTGAGTTATGTTTTATTTTTTTGCATGTATTTTTTTTAGAGATGATCACATAATAATTTCTGTAGTTTAAGTTAATGGACATGTTATGA